GGGAGGGGGTTAAAAGTGTGATAAGCTAGAAAAAGGAATTAACTTCCCAGCAGTAAGGAAACCATGTAAAGATGGGAAAGATGTCAGATTTGTTCATTGTCAAGAGTGACTATGTGAAGAGATGGAGCCCAAATTTCATCTCACACTAAAGCCAGCACAAACTTTCGTTCTGGCAAACCAACAAAAAGGATGTCAAGGAAGTCCTTTGTGGGAAAGCTATGATGCTCAGCTTAATAAAGGATTCTTGGCTCGTATATCAATGATAAGAGCTTCAACTTGCATTCCAAATCCTAAGAGGTGCTCATATATGGGGTATAATGATCACCATTGATTCCCTCATTATGGCAGAAATACAGGGCATCATCTCATTGTTGCAATAGTATTTGTTCATACTAAGTTAAGGTTCTCAATGCCTTGATTGCCTCATTTAAATTACCATCAAAACCTTTGGCAGAAAAACTAATCATCACATCACCTAGATATCAGCAAATATTACTTCCGTCATACCAGGCGAAGTATCCAACAAACTTCTTTCCATCTTGTATAAGTTGAAACATATATTTGAAGATCTAGTTTATCATCCATGTCTCCATGATATGATAAATACCCTAAGCAATATAGTTGTTGAGTTGTCTTAGCACATATGTAGTATGCAGCTGGAGACCCTAGTATGCAGCAAATATGTAGTTTTCCCCACTAGTGGGATTTTACCGGGTGGTTGTTGTTGTTGTTTGCAGCTGGAGACCGTACAAGAAGTAACATTAACTCTTGGAATTCATATTCTTTCCTTTCAGATATTTTTCCTGCTATATAAAGGGAGCCTTTCTTGCAAAGCTTCTTCATTTTTGGGATGTCCATTTCTTCATTTCAAGAAAGTGAGATGTACAAATAAATAATTTGCAAAGTAAGTTAGTTGAGAACACTGCCCATGTGCCAGAAGTTTTAACCTTTTCATGTTATCTACATCAAGTAACCCTTCTTGAATGTCCAAATTTTAAGTAGTTAGCTTCGCATTAGCGGCAGCTAGACATGGAGCTAAATTTACATTGAAGTTAGTCAAGTTGAGCACCAATTGTAACGACCCGGTCGGTCGTTTTGAGAGTTATAGCCCCGATCCCCTATTAGTTGTTTCCCCCGTATCTTATTCTTCTATTTTTGCGTTGCCGGGAGGGTTCGTATTGGTTTTGAAGTGAATTGAGACACTTAGTCTCTTATTGGGAAGCTTAAGTTGGAAAAATCGACCGGACGTCGACTTGACTGTAACGACCTCGGATTTGAATTTTTATGACTCTGTTAGCTACGTTAGGTGATTTTGGACTTAGGGGCGTGTCCGGATAGTGTTTTGGAGGTTCGTAGTAGATTTAGGCTTGAATTGGCAAAAGTTGGAATTTTGGCGATTTTGGTCGGCAGTGGAAATTTTGATATCGGACCTGGAATGGAATTCCGGAAGTGGGAGTAGGTTCATAGTGTCATTTTTGACTTGTGGGTAAACTTTGAGGTCATTCGGACGAGATTCGATATGTTTCGACGTCGTTTGTAGATTTGGGAAATTTCAAAGTTACTTAGACTTGAATCCGTACATAATTCGTGTTTGTGACGTTGTTCGATGTGATTTGAAGGCTAGACTAAGTTCGTATGGTGTTTTAGGATGGGTTGGTATGTTTGGTTGAGGTCCCGGGAGCCTTGGGTGAGTTTCGGGTGCTTAACGGGTTGATTTGGACTTAGGTGAAACTGCTGATATTGTTGTATCTGGTGTCACCGCACCTGTGCACTTTGGGTCGCAGGTGCGGAGCCGCAGAAGCAGCTATGGAACCGCAGAAGCGGAAATGGGAAGGAGGTCTGGGATCGCAGGTGCGAGGGGTGTTTCGCATCTGCGAGTGAAGGAACCGCAGAAGCGGACAAAAGGTCCGCAGGTGCGCACACGCAGGTGCGACCTCTTGATTGCAGATGCGGACAAGGTACTTTAAGTGAAAAGCCGCACCTGCGATGGGAATTCCGCAGGTGCGGAACCGCAGATGCGATCCTTGGCCCGCAGGTGCGATAATCGCTGGGCAAAAAAAGGCAGATTCGAGGGTTGAAATTTCATAACACAAAATTTGATTGAGAGCTCGGAGGAAGGCGATTTTTCGAGAGTTTTTCAGAGGAAATCAGTGGGTAACGATTCCTAATCCTATTTTGATCATATGTCATTAATCCATAGTTGTTTTCTTCATTAAATTAAGGAATTTGAGTGAGGAAATTGGGGAATTGGGGGAAAAGTTCCCAACCAAAAATCTGAGTTTTGAGTGGGAATTAGGCGTCGGTTTTGGATGATTTTTGTACGAGTGAACTCGTGAGTGAATGAGTGTTCTTATCTGGTAACTTTTACCCGATTCCGAGACGTGGGCCCGGGGAGGCTTTTGAGCAATTTTTTTCCAATTTCCTTGCTTTAGCTTTGATTTCGTTCGTTAGATTAGCTCTTGTAGTTGTATTTATGTTATGTAATTGGTTTTGATTAGATCCGGGCCACTCAGAATTGGATACTCGTGGCAAGAGCGTGATTTCGGATTGATTAGAGCTTGGTTCGAGGTAAGTGGCTTGCCTGACCTTGCGTGGGGAACTCCCCTTAAGATTTGGTACTGTTTGATATGTGAGCGCCGTGTACATGAGGTGACGAGTACGTACACGGGCTATTTGTTGTAAAAACTCCGTTTTTCACTAAGTCATAACTTGTTTTCTCCTTATTTGAAACACACTAGCATATGGAACTATCCTGTTTAGACTAGAATAACATGCCTACTTGTTTAACTGCCTATTTGAACTATGTGCAGCATGTTTAGTGAAATTTCCTGCTTTCCTTGACTTGAACTTAGTCTAAACTGTAGGATTTCTAGCTGTAACTGTTATTTCGGTTGGTTGCGCTGCATATTTACTTTGGGACTACGGAACGGTATTTCGGGAGATCCCCTGTACTGCATATTTACTTTGGGACTACAACGGTATTCCGGGAGATCCCCCAGCACATTTACGTTTGGGACTACGAGACGGTATCTCGGGAGATCCCCTGTTGTTATCACTGTGTTCTGAGCTGTTGTCTTTCATTGATTCTATTCCTGTTAGATTTCCGTATTTATTTATTGCGATATTTCATTCAGTCTTATTTCATTATATTTATACCAGTAAGGCCCTGATCTGATCTCGTCACTACTCGACCGATGTTAGGCTTGGCACTTACTGGGTACCGTTGTGGCTTACTCACGCCCTTTCCTGCACATGTTTTTCGTGTGCAGATCCAGATTCATCTTACCAGCCTCATCACTAGTTGCAGTCGCTGCTGCTTATTGGAGATTTCAAGATACATCTGCTCGCGCCCGCAGATCCTCGGAGTCCCCCTCTATCCACCACCCCCCCTCCCCCATGTTCATTTTTGCCTTCTTTCTATAGAAATGATGTACAGAACGGTTAAGACTTCTTAGTAGTTTGTGACTTGCGGGTTTCCGGGTTTTGGGAATGTTTTCGTACATTTTTCAGAGGTGATAATTGTATATGCCGAGTGGCATTCAGTTGCTTATTAAATATTTGTTACTGTTAGTAGTTAATGTTCATGCTTTTGTTTCATTTCCGCAAAGTACGGCTTACCTAGTCGTAGAGACTAGGTGCCGTCACGACGATTCACGGAGGGAGAAATTGGGTCGTGACAAGTTGGTATCAGAGCTCTAGGTTCATAGGAGTCGTGAGTCAAAAGCCGGTTTATTAGAGTCTCGCGGATCGGTACGGAAACGTCTGTACTTATCTTCGGGAGGCTATGGAACTGTTAGGAACAAACATACTTCTTTGATTTCTTTGTCGTGCGAGTTATTGGCATCAAATTCTAAAAATTCTCTATTTTATTCTTTCTCACAGATGGTGAGGACCCGTACCGGAGGATCTGACGACCAGGCACCNTTGATATTATCTTGGGCATGGACTGGTTGTCGCCCCATTATGCTATTCTTGATTGTCACGCTAAGATCGTGACGCTGGCTATGCCAGGCTTACCGCGATTAGAGTGGAGAGGTACCTTAGAGTATACTCCCCGCAGAGTTATTTCATTTCTTAAGGCTCAACGAATGGTTAAGAAGGGGTGCGACACGTATTTAGCTTATGTGAGAGATGTCGGTATTGATACCCCTACAGTTGAGTCAGTTCTAGTAGTGAGGGATTTTTTAGATGTGTTTCCAGCTGATCTTCTGGGCATGCCGCCCGATAGAGATATTGATTTCGGCATTG